ATCCTTTGCACACTACTGAAATGTTGAAGTTGTGCTTCATGCCGTGGGGGCAGGTTCCAGATGTCTTATCTGTGGAATGTTGATACAGATGCAGCCGTTACTTTACTTTCACAGTTCCTACATGGCATCAAGCAAATTGTATACATTTTTGGTAGTGGCACAGTGGAATCTTCAGAACCCTGTGCAAATCTGATAGATTCAGGATCATGACTGCCCAACACCAATATCTTCCGTGTGGATATTATATGTGGTTGCTCCCAGCACAGGATGAGCGCAGTAGTTTAGGGTTTACGTTAATTTACTGTCTAGGGTAGGGATTAAGGGGTTTAGTTTACATTTCGGTTAATCCAGTAAGGAATTATATTACTTAGTGGAACAAAAATATTTAAAATATATTTATAAATTTTTCCAAGTGTTTAAAAACTTGGTTCCCATAGTACTCTTTCTTTGGACAGATCACTTCCATGGATGGAGGTGGTGGCAGCTCCATCAGATTGCTTTACCCATCGGGCTGGACAGGTTCTTTCCATACCTGCAGATGCTGCTAAGCAGGGCAAACATCTCCACTCTGACAAACTGTCTGCTTACTGCTTACTTCAGCATTCTGCCTAAATTAGATTGTATTCTGTACTGTGTAGATGAGCACATTTTCATTTATCGTGTTTACAAATATGTGTTAAAGATTTCAACATTTCTGGAAATTTGTCTTTCAACGTGTCTTTGTCTATTTTGGTCATTTGTGAAGCTTAAGGGTTTGTTCACACCCAAAGCATGTGCATTCCAGAGCGGTAGCTGCTGGAACGCACCGCGATCACTAAGAAACTTCTCCCCGCGTTCTGGAGCGGGAGCGGGCAAGGCGGCCCGCAGTGCGATCGGACGCGTGGCACAACTTTGCCAGCATACCCCCATGCCCCCTCCCGCCCCAGAACGTGGGGGGAAGTTTCTTAGCGATCGCGGTGCGCTCCAGCAGCTACCGCTCTGGAACGCACACACTTTTGGTGTGAACAAGCCCTTAAAGAGGAACAATAGGGGTCTATTTAATTGTGGAAATTTTATTACACAAGAATTATGCCACTACCACTCCGGATTCACACTATTATCTAATAGAGACCTCTTTATTAATGTTTTCACCAAAGATTCACCCAACTTTCACACATTTGTAAGCCGGATCTGAGGTTTCAAATGTGAGAATATTAAGTGAATATTTGTATGAAATCCTTATTTATAACTAACAATGCAAACCGTTGTGGTGCACACTTCCTGTGCTATTTCAAGGAGTTTAATCAGCCTTTCTAGTTTTTATCTTTGAACGACAGAATGAATTGTGGTTATGTTGTGGAGATAGAGGAGTAGGTGGATTTGAGTGGCAAAATGGGAATCTTAGGTTCAAAATGTGAAAATATTCGGTAAATGTTGAGAAATAGTGTTTTCTGATCAATTTTATATTCCTTTTTTTTTTTTTTGACGTGCAGTAGTTTACAAACTGATTTAAAAAAAATATAATTTGTATTATTTGTATGACTCTATTAACAAAAATGTATCTTATTTGTGCATCACTCGGCTGTAGATCCTCAAATCATCTCTGAATTGGTGCTGACACTGTCCTTCCTTCTGGAGGGAGGCTACACTTGTTCCCCATGGTCCTTGTGTGTGATGTAAAGTAGTCACCGCTCCAAGCTCGCTCCTGTGATGGGCTACAATGTAACTTTTAGTTTACTATTGTAAATAGTTACCTCCTGAGTTTAGTGTCACTTTAAGAGTAAAATGTATATCGCAGTGTCATATTAATCTGGCCACAAACCAGGTGGGAAAAAAGAGGGTATTTTACCTCCATGTTACCACCTGTTACTTTTAATAATTGTTGAATAATACTGTATATACTGTATGTTATATATGAATTACAAAATACATACAAAATCATTGTATTTATAGTTCTACTCCTTTTATTCCGCAAGCCTTCCTTTACATTAGCTGTCTATCCTCATTCAGGTAACAGGAACTTTTTGCCATTACAGTGCAGGATATTTTTCTTTTAATATTTTCTTTATATTTTTACATATTTTAATTTTTTATTCAGCTTTCTATTCTGAGCCGTCTATCCTCATCCAGATAACAGTATCTGCTTGCCATCACAGTTGCAGCAACATTTTATTTTATTATTATATTATTTATTATTTTACATATGCTATCTATCCTCATTAAGATAACAGGATCTCTTTGCCATAACAGTGCGGCATATTTTTCTAATCCATTGCACTTAATAAAAATAAATGCCACGTGTAACCTTTGTTGTAACACCTGAGCTTTTTGTTCTCATTTCTTCCATGCTCTTATCAATGGTCACCTATTTTAGTCTTACTGAAACAAACAGTGACGATTTTATGAAACAGATTGAAAATTTTTCCTATTTTGCACAGGAAAGTATGAGTAAATGGTTTTGGTCTGACTGTCCTTAACTTACTTGTGTTTTAATAGACATATTACTACTACAACCTAAACTTAGCACAAAAGGGGGGCGCCTTCCTGGTGCAGATCAATTTTATTTCAGTAGATAAAAGTGAAAAACCGAATGGTACTCACAAAACATGTGGTGCCGTTAACGCGTTTCCGGTGCACGCCCCCTTCATCAGAACAGTGTTCTAATGAAGGGGCGTGCCCCGGAAACGTGTCTTACTGCATCTTACTGCCGGTCAGCTCTTATGCCATGGCAGTGTGATTTTCATGTTTTGTGAGTACCATTCGGTTTTTCACTTTTATCTACTGAAATAAAATTGATCTGCACCAGGAAGGCGCCCCCCTTTTGTGCTTACTTCCTAGATTCTCAGCTTTCCCGGCTTCTTTGGGGCAGCGTCCTGCAGTGTGCCTGAGAGGATTTCCCACTGGGGATTGACCGTCTGTGGCGCTTCATTGTTTTTATTTTGTTACAACCTAAACTTAGCTGAAACTGTGTACAGAAAGGAGGAGAAGCCATTTATAACTCCTGATATATGACAGCCAGTTGTAATAAATGTCACTTCATGTACAAACATGGGCACCGATCAATGTATGATCCCAATGATTGCTGCACAGTCATGTGATAGTTTGACTGTTCGTATTTGTTTTCTGCTGGTGTCCTGTGTACACTTCTTTACATGGATCTTATGTAAAGTGTATATAACCTTTAAAGAAGAACTATGGGGTTAAGGCTTTTCCCCATAGTTCCCCTTAGGGTAACGGGAGGACACAAACTAGCGTCCTCCCGTCACCCTAAGCTCAGTATACCGCGAGCTACTGCTCGCGGTATACTGAGACGCCGCAGCTGAAGCGGATCCCGACAATTATGTCTGGATCCGCCCAGCTGCGTGAGGGAAAGCTGGCTCTGTCTATCTGGAGGCAGAGCCAGCTGTACCCGCCCCCTCCCCCGTCCGATCCACCAGTCAGCGGTAGCGGATCGGAGCGGGGAGGGGGGAATCCAGCCCCTCGTCTGTCACGGCAGAGAGCTGTGACAGGATCGAGAGGTGAGCGAACGCCGGTATGTGTTCGCTCACCTCCCGATCTACTGAGCCGACCTGTGACAGTCTCATTGTCACAGGTCGGCTAGAACTATGAGGTGAGTGAAAAGCACTCACCTCATAGTTCTCCTTTAACAATAAACTTCTCATATTTGCATCCTATTGGTCTGTTAAATAAAACATTGAAAGTGTTCTGTTATATCTGTTCGGTAAGTGGTTTTGCTAAAATTAGGTACCTCGGCTTATATTCGGGACGGCTTATACTCGAGTATATACGGTACCTGTCGATCTTTCCATAAATTCAAGGCCATCCTGTGTCCTCTGCACACTTCCTGTATCGTCTCAAGGAGTTTAATTAGCTCTCCCAGTTCTTATATTGGGACTACAACATTACTTATGAGCTGAGTGCATTTGTGGCAGAGCAACAGGTATTTTTCTGCACTTGCAGGGTCTATAACCCCTTGCCGTCCGTCCATCGTAAAATTATGGGCGGACGGCGAATCCTTCCCGGCGGGTGGACGTTCATGTATGGGATTTTTTTTCCTGCTTGTGCGTGCCCCCTAGCGCACAAGCAGAAAACTGCCTGTGTACATTAAATGGTCATTAAATGGTTAAAGGGAAAAACATAGGACAATTGTAATGTATTGCAGAGGTGTACTGCATATGTTTTTTTTTACATACACTTCAAGAGTATTAAGTCTACTGAATCTGCATATCAATTGAAAAAAAACCAGTAAGAGGCCCTTTATAAATACTCTAAACACATGTTGAAACACATAAATACATACCTGCTAAAAGATTACATGTGTTCATCCAGCTTTGTCCTCCACCCCTGCAGGACAGCATATCCAGAGAGTTGACCTTGCTTTCTCTAATGTAGATAAGCAATACAGTTGATCCCTGATCTGTCCCCAGCTAACTGTCACCACATTTTCTCTTGTGAGCAAGTTTCCAGTGTTAGATTGCACTTTGCAATGCAGTACAGCCTGGATGTCTCACACTTCTTCTCCCAGGTAGACTGTAGTTACTCATATGAGACACATTTAGGTACGTATACTAGCTGTGTTTAAAATGCATTTGTTTATTTGCTAACTAGATTATATAAGGGGATTTTTTATCGTCTGTTTGGAGTTCAGCTCTTTCACTGGTCAACATTTCTTATTTTAGTAAGATAGGTTGGCAACCGCTGTCAAAACTGAACTGCTAAGTTGTGGACTAACTATTAAACATGAAAACCATGGGGTTTGCATAGTACATAGCTGGTTTCATGATATTAATACTTAACCAACAGTTGTATTAAGAAATGCAGTGTTCCCCTCCCAGTTGCACAACAAGCAAAGAACATGTAGTTTACCCAGAGCTTTAGTTCTCAGTGTGGTTACTGCGTGAGAAATCCTGTGTTCTTCCATACTTTTATCTTATTTATAATAATATTATACTTGTCAGCTGACTATGATTTGCAGAGACAGTCCCAGGATTTTTAACTAAGATATTTCTGTCCCTGGAAATGTGCATGCTTTTTAGTATTACCAAACAAAGTTACTAAATCCCTGTTCTACAATGTAGATGTAGTTTGAATCTTTAGTAACAATGATCTTTTGATGTTACCTTTAACCTAAACTCTCACTAAGCAATATATAAGTCCTGATTTATAATGGAGAGCGAATACCTCTATGCGTAGGACACCGCATTGTACCTGCATTGTATGAGTCATTTATAAAATGTGTGTTATGGAGCCTACGGGGTCCATCAAAGTGTTCTCAGCCCACGTTTATAAATGGGCATGCAGGAAAGGGTGACAACAAATCAGCTGAATGGAGTTAGCATTGTCACCCTAGGAAAGGACGTTTAAAGTGTAGCGGATCGGAGCGGGGAGGGGGGAATCCAGCCCCTCGTCTGTCACGGCAGAGAGCTGTGACAGGATCGATAGGTGGGCGAACGCCGGTATGTGTTCGCTCACCTCGTCTGTCACAGCAGAGAGCTGTGACAGGATCGATAGGTGAGCGAACGCCGGTATGTGTTCGCTCACCTCCCGATCTACTGGCTCAACAGCAGGGACGGACTGCACTTAAATGGGGAAGGTACAGCTCTGCTGGGGGAGAAGAGGGTAAAAAGGTTAGAGGAACTTTCAAACTAGATTCTGGGGGGGAACCTGACGGGTTATATCTGAGGGTACTAAAGGAACTTAGCCAGGTCATAGCCAGACCATTGTACAAAATTTTTATAGACACTATAATGACAGGTATGGTACCAGGTGATTGGAAAAAGCGAATGTTAAACCGATATACAAAAAGGGGAAGCAAAGCACACCGGGTAACTTTAGGCCAGTCAGCTTAAAATCAATAGTGCGCAAAATATTCAAAGGCATGATAAGGGGCTACATGCAGGAATCTGCAAATAAAAATGGCATCATAAGTAATAACCAACATGGCTTTATGAAGGACCGTTCATGTCAGTCCAATCTACTGACATTTTATGAGGTCAGTAATAATTTAGACAGCGGAATACCAGTAAACGTGGTGTATCTGGACTTTGCTAAAGCATTTGATACAGTACCACACAAATGTTTAATTTCTAAACTAAGGTCTATCGGTTTGGATGAAATTGTATGTACATGGGTGGAAAACTGGCTGCAAGAACGGATCCACAGGGTAGTAATACATGGATCGTTTTCTAATTGGGCAAAAGTTGTAAGTGGGGTGCCCCAGAGTTTGGTCCTGGGACCAATCCTGTTCATCTTATTCATCAACGAAGTAGAGATTGGAATAAACAATTCTATTTCGATTTTTGCGGACGATACTAAACTGTGTAGGGCAGTAAATTCCAAACAGGAGATATTTGCACTTCAACAAGACCTAGATAAAATTGAGACATGGGCTACAAGATGGCAAATGCAATTTAATCTTGACAATGGTAAGGTTATGTACATGGGAGCAAAGAACATGTGTGCAAATACAACTTGCGAAGTGCTACATTAGGGAAGTTGAACATGAAAAAAGACCCGGGATCCTCATAGATCACAGATTTGGCAATAGTATGCAATGTCAAGCAGCGACCAGCAAAGCAAACAGGATACTGTTGTGCAATCAAAGAGGGATTGTATCAAGGGGTAAAAGAATAATATTTCTACTTTATAAATCGCTGATTTTGCCACATCTTGGGTATGTGGTGCAGTTTTAGTCGCCAGCTCTCAGGAAAGATGTCCTCAAACTTGAGAGGGTTCAAAGAAGGGCTACAAAATTAATTAAAGGGATAGCACGCCTGAGTTATGAAGACCACCTTCAAAAATTAAACTTATTTACCTTAGAAAATAGGGTGGGTCTCAACAGGTATTTCTAGGGTCTCACCAGGGCTCTATGGAGTTTTACTAGGGCTGCGCAGGCCGCGTCTCACCAATACTTTGCGGGCCGGGACCTTCACATCTTGGGTATGTGGTGCAGTTTTAGTCGCCAGCTCTCAGGAAAGATGTCCTCAAACTTGAGAGGGTTCAAAGAAGGGCTACAAAATTAATTAAAGGGATAGCACGCCTGAGTTATGAAGACCACCTTCAAAAATTAAACTTATTTACCTTAGAAAAGAGGTGCTTAAGAGGGGACCTTATTGCAGTCTTTAAAACCATCAATGGGGATCACAATATTCAAAACAAGTTGTCTATATTGAGAACACAAGGATACAATAAGAGGTTAGAAGAAAGGGGGTTCAATCTTAAAGTACTTAGATTGGCTGTAATCCTTTAGCCGTTTGTTAAGACAGGCAGTGTTCAGATCTTTACAAATTATAATGAACAAACCCCTCACAACCTCTCCTAACATTACAAAGAAGGCAAGACCAAGAGTGTCAGCTACCCATGGATAGGCATAAGTTAGCAGGTGACTTAGGGGTGCCTAACATGAGAAACTATTAAATAGAATCACAGATTGCCCCCCCGGCCCCTCTTAGGGCTCAAATCAGGGGTCTCTAGGGTCTTAACAGGGCTCTCTAGGGTGGGTCTCAACAGGTATTTCTAGGGTCTCACCAGGGCTCTATGGAGTTTTACTAGGGCTGCGCAGGCCGCGTCTCACCAATACTTTGCGGGCCGGGACCTGGTCTCATCAGTGCTGTTCAGGCCACTTCTCATCAGAACTGTGCGGGCCGTGTCTCGCAGGCGGGAGCGTGCAGGACCAGGTGCCGACGTCTCCATCTGCTTCTGACGCTAAGCTCCGCCCTCTCAGTCAGGTCGAGATCCTCGCACTTCCAAGGGCCTCGTGGCCGCCTGATTTGCCCTGTCGGCGCATTACCTCATAGCCCAGGTGCCATATTTGCTGCAAATGTGGAAACACACTTTAACATGGGCTGTATCCTGTCAGTGGCTGACTAGTATAGAACAGTAAATCTCAGCCTTTTTGTTACAGACTTGTAAATTGTGGAGAAAATGAGGATGGCATGGTGTTCACTATGGTGTCCCCATTCTCCACACACAGTTTGGGGTTTGTCAGACCTCACTATTATCAACCTGTGTGCTGTTACTAACATCAGTGTCAAATGGTAGGGATGCCTTATAGAAGCATGCAAGAAAATGGTTAAAAGCTTTACACTCGTCATTGCTCAACTTCTGCTTGCAGTTTTTCATGACATTAAATCAGATCACATGACTGAAACTTTCACTCCATGTCTTTCCTAGGGCCATGTTCTGCAATGATCTGAAGGAAAAATACGAAGAAAATATTATAATAAAGGGAGTGGATGCAGAAACCATGGAGATTATTTTGGATTATGCGTACACAAGCAAAATAGTGATAACAAAGCAAAATGTGCAAAAAATATTGGAGGCCGCCAGTCTTTTTCAAGTAAGTTTAATGCAATTGCAAAGCAAATATATTAACAATCTCACATGAAAATTCATATATTATATATACCCAGTCCATCGTGACAAGATGACAATAGTTAGACTGCATCTATATACCGGAGTGACAAGTCTTTCCTGGTACCACCTAATGAGCACAGTTGTTGGGTTTCTGTGAAGACACATATACAGTATGCATTAATTAAAGAATAAGTGCACTTAACGACAAAGTGCACTTATTCTTTTTGCCCCCTTCCCCCGACTTAAAAGATCCTACCCTTGCCCTTTGCAGATCTATACTACCTGAGATAAGAGGGCCATTGCTCTGTTGTAAGTTGATATACAGCGCAGTAAGTCTCCCGCTCCTGACCGTTCTGGCTGGAAGCATGGCACTGTAGAAGTCTATGGGACTGCATGTGTCTCCATCTGGGGGAACATATCGTGCTTGTCTTGCATTTTGGTGTTCTGTATAGTGATTATCAGGCCCCTGCACACTGGCAAATGGGCCCCTCAGCACACATTGCCAGACACTCCCCAATGCACTGAAGGTAATGCACATGAAAATGTCTGTGAGCGCTGATGCTGGGGTGTTTTTTTTTATATTGTAGATCAGAAGAGTCATCGGCACTCCAATAGTGATGCAAGCACGTCGTTTATTGATTTCATCACATTGTTTGCATGACAAAGGCACCCTATGCGGCCCCCACACGTTATTTGCTTTGTGATCATGTGAACATGCATGAAAAAAAAAACACGTTTACATCACAATTGGAGTGCTAGTGACTGATTTTCATTGTCTATAAATGTGGCACTAACCGCTTGTCACTGCTGTACCCACCACTCCGGGAAATTTACAGTAAGGAGTGAGATGGAACTCATCAATAATTCCTTTTAATATTGTTTGCCTGGATGGTCTCCCTCCCTTGAGGAGCATGTAACACTGAGAGTGATCTCAGTAACGTTACAAAGCACTGTATAAGCATCCTTTGCCTACTGTATGCGTCATCAACACTAACAAAGGACCTTGCACCCTTGTGAACATTTTTGTGTGATGTGATTTCTCGGTTCACTTTTTTGGTTCACAGGGGGAAGTTTGTTTAGATGCACGTCCACGGGCTTAAAACAATAAAAAAAACAACAGAATTTAATGTGTATGTCTGAGCAAAAGAGTTTTAAAAAATGTGCAGTACATCTCTCCAATACATGTAATGTCCCCATGTTTTAAACCTTAAAAAATGCTGCAAGTACAAAAGTACTGCTGCCAGTGCTAAAGCAGCATTGCCATCTCACTACAGGAAGTTAGGAGCTCACTGTACTTCATAAAGAGACAAAGCATGAGAAAATATTTAAGTATTGCAGAGATGTACTGAATAGGTTTTTCCCCAGATATACACTTTTAAAGAGAAGTACCTTTTTGACTCTGTTGGGACATAAAACAACATTTACTAATGTACTCCTGTGACATTAGCGGGTTACTACCCTCCCAATG